AAACAATAACAAGGAACACAAAACGGTTTTTATAACAAGAACAAATTTATGTATGTTAATTATATACAAGCATAATTAATAAGAGTCACTTCCCTTTGACTGGAATTAAAGTCTTTACTAAGGAAATATTCTTTTATATGAGCTCATAAAAAAGTTGAATGAACTTGACGCTGAAAATGTTCACTGTGGGAGAGTTGAAAGAATTCTACAAAGCTGAAAATATGTTGATAAACTTTTAACTTCAGAAGCGTTGAAGGAGTGAATGTTCCGTAATGTTTAATTAATTTTTGTTGCTTGTAGTTGAATATTCGTAATTGTAATGTTCTGTAGTGTTCATAATGTTTGTAATTAAGTTTTCGTACGTACGTGTATGTGTGTATGTCTGAATATGTTTTCATAGCGTCTGCCCGTAAAGGTCGAAACGCGATTTCTTAAACAGCTACATTTTAATAAGCGAGAGAAATAAAAAAAGAGAGGAAGAACGAACTTGTGTCTGGTATTTATAATCTACGTAATCACGTAATAGGCTCCAGGAAGGCATAGACAGAATTTGGCAGAATTGTTTTTTCGTCAGGTCAGGAACTAGGTCGATGTTATTCGGACATAGTTGAGAACATGATTTAAATATTAACTGACCAATAAGAAGTGAGAAAAATATCAAGGCTCTATGATCCACTTTTTGCACAGAATTGCACAAAAATTGACATTGATAGAAAAATATTAGCAGAATGCTAAAGAGTAAGCAATAGCGTTACTATCTTCGGATACAGACCGGTTATTGAAGTGGTTAATGGCAGTTCATTAGTTTATTTCGTATTCCAAAGGATCATTTTCGCTACAATTTTTGATTGCTAATGATTGTCCTTTACAAAAATGGGTCGTCTTTTCTTGCGTTTGGGCAGACAATAGCAGGTAGCAACACGGTCCATTATTTTTTCCCCATTAAATCGTGAAGCAATTCCAGTATCCAAGTACTTTCAAATGCTTACAATGTCAATATGAAATATGTGGAGTATCTCTGCGATGTCCCGTGTCGTATGATCTATATTATTTTTAACGACTGTTTTGATTTGGCCAGCATCAACGACTGTTGGCCTGATGGAACGTTCTTGGTCTTACACATTAACTTCACACAGGAGTAACCTGCTTCAAGCATATCTTGATATTTACTTGTTAAACGTTATATTTATTAATTATTAAAATGTAATTATTGAAGAACAACAATTCAGAATTGTCCAGAAGAATAGATGACTAAAAACATAAAAAAACACTCAGCAATTAAATAAATAAAAGTACATCTTTTAAAAAAAAATTTCAAAGTTTTTGTTTTTTTTTCACTACCCAACAGTCTACAGAATATTTTATTAAAAATGTAATTAAAAAAAATCTTCGTTCCAATCTCGTAGGAATCACTGTAAAAAAATACTTTTCCTTCCCCAATTTATAAGCAAAACACACAGATGCATGCTGGGATTTCTTCCTAGCCAAGATAGGATATTTCTCGGTCTCATCTGCCTTAATTTTGTTCTTTCTTGTTAGAACGCTGCGATCGTTTGTGTGTATTCTCCTTTTTGTGTTAATACCATTCTTAATTTTCTGAACTTTTTGCCTTATTACTATTGCTTTGCCTTATTACTATTGCTTTGCCTTCTATATATTGTTTGCTTGCCTTATTATTTTTGTCCTGTTCTTTTCTTTTTCTTGTTATTGCTCATTGCAATCTTTGTCAATTCCGTTTGTTGGACAGTTCTGTTACTTATTTTGTATTTGACCATGGCATGTCAGACGGGAGATTGTATAATGAAGTGTGTATTAAAAAAATAAAATACACGTAAAAATTCAGTTTAACCGTTATAAATGACCTCATCTTGCGTGACTCGAAATTGATTCCACTTTTAGAGTTACAGTAGAAGCTGATCTCTCTTTGATAGAGATAAGTCACATGGATCACGTGACAGACCGTCTAATGACGCCATTCCATCCAGTGATAAATGCGGCTGTCAAATGTAGTTAGTTTACAGCAGCTGATCCGAGCATTTCCCATTCTTAGTCTGGGCCAAATGGCCCAGTCTGAGGCTAAATTTGCCTCCCTCCCCAGCAGCTTACGAGTCCATGGTGTAGTTTCTCTTTGGGAATATATTTCTCCCAGATATATAGAAATAAACTCCAGCTCGCAGTCCTCAATTTGGGAAAATCTGAGACTCGCTGTTTTCCGTTCTTATAATATGTTCTCGCCTGGGACATAGATGAATCCAGCCCGTTTGTATCAGTAGTCCTAAACATGTCTTCTCCAGACACAGAAGTATCTCCATATTATTTGTTAGACACTTCCTTTTTGTTTCTCCTTACACTCTGCTTTGCTGTGTAGATATATATGATATATTATTCTCCACGTAGGACACATGTGTATATATGTGTATATAGTTTTACTTTTGTGTATGTCTCAGTAGTATAAAAATATCTCTGAGAACAAAGCATGTAATTCGTTTTCCTTTCAGCCATTACGTTTCATCCGTGAATGACGGTGTTATTATATCATGGATATAATAATGCTCATAACGTGTGAAATACATCAGGAGAATAAATATTTCTTCCATAGCTCACTCCCGTTACACAATAACCGCGGGAACACCAAAATTAACCAAACAACAATTGCATAAACAGTAAACACACATAAAAAAAAATCCTTGAAAGCGAATGTAGTAACATTTGAAAGTACTTTGAAAAAAATAAAAATGAATGATAATATATAAAACAACTAATTTGGAAATATGAAAAGGTTAATAATAAAAAAAAAATTGGATAGTCAGAACGTGTCGATATTATTCAACCAAACATGAAAGTCAATCACCGAGCCAGTCGGCCATTTTTATTGCACGCCTACACATTTAGTTCAAGAGAAAATAGATATCGTGAGAATGCTCGGTATAAGGGTCAATATTATTGATTGACTCAATACAAATATAAAGAGTAAGACGCATCAAACGCCCCCACTCACACACCCACACACACCCAAAATACACACACCCACACACAAAACACACACACAAAACCACACACACACGCACCTACACACACACACAAAACACCCACACCCACACACGCACCCACACACAAAACACCCCACACACACACACACACAAACACACATACATCTTAACCTTACCTCCCTTACCGTAAAGTTTGATTTATTGTTAGACTTTTGATTCGTGATTGTTAAACTTAAAAATAGTGGGTCGGCTCGATGATTCGAATTCAGGTGAAGAAAAAAGTCACATTAAAGAAACAAGACAAGCACACAGTGGACGAGATCCCATTCTCTTCTGATTCCAAAAGTGGACAAAATCCCAGTCTTATAAATTAAATAAATTGAAAATTCAAGGAGCTTTATTCAAATTTTAATGTCAAATTGAGACTTTCTTCACATAAAGTGGGGTCTTATGGGATAGAGAACTCATTAGCTTTGAAATTGAAATATATCGAATATGTGACCATAGTGTTGTTAGAAAACGTTTTTTAGACGCTGGATTGATTTTTTTTTTTTTTTTTTTTTTACCCTTTTTATGAATTTATGTTGTAAAAAGAGCGGACCCATAAACTTGTGAAGTATCCGACAGAAATAGATGACTTTAAGACTTAAAGTTTAAGTTAACTGTCGACTATGAATTAATTGTGACTTTTTTCCTAACCAAAATTGTGACTTTTTTCAGTGACTTTATTAACGGTCACGGATGATTCATTTATAGTCAAAAACTTGCGATGTATTGAGATTTAGATAAAAATATTTTCCCGAATTTTTAAAAAAACTAAAAGTAAAAGTAAAACACTCAAAGTCACTCAACTCATCATAAGTATTGCCTCCGCGTGGATATTGTCTCTTTGTTTTGTTTTTTTACCAAATATTATAGCACTTTTCAGTTAATTACATAACCATCACTCTAGAAGCCAGCTGTAAAATTGACCATGGGAAGATGGTACCTGTTTTAATTTAAATTTCAAGATTAATTAATATTTATTATTAAAACAATAATCAATGTAGTTGTTTAAATTGAAATTGCACAACTCCTCATATGCATGTGTAGTGTTGTATAATTGAAAAGTAGTGTCCGAATAATTATATTGTATTATTAAAAAAAGGCAAAAATAATTAATTTAACATATTATCAAAGATTTTTTAAGGTTAGCCCATTTTCAGGGTAAGTTAGTGTAGATGTTTTACTTTACTAAACTTCGATAAAGAAACAAAAAGTTACTTTTTATTTTAAAACTTCTACTGTCGCCTTATCTCCTCCCTTTTTAACTTATTATTTCTTTTATTTTTTCCTTAAGAGAATTAACATCAGTTCTTTTATTTAAATAATCTAAATTTGTGTTCATTTTTTAAGAAAGAGAGGAAAGACCCTAACGCGGAAAAAAATTAGGTCAAGTGTGACGGACCAAAATTGTTTTTCCTTTAAAGCATAGTGAGTCAAAAAGAAGGAAAAATAAAGTCTTTTTTACATTTAAATAATTGTCTGAGATATTGCGTGTGTAAACTGTAAATTTATTCAATTTCAAGAAAAAATATTTTAATCAAATGACTGCTTTGATTAAATGATTAAAACATGTTTTCTTTAAAAAAAAAATAAATAAATAAATCAACAAAGAAAAATATTCTAGAGAGAATTTTCTTCTTTGTGAAGAATTTGGATAGTAAAAAATGTTGAAACAAATCTTGATATAAAAACAAAATATTCAAACCGACAAATAATATAACAAAACAAACAACAATTTATTTATTAATTTATTTGCCATTGTTCTATTCCCCATTGACTTATTTATATACTTTAGACTCCTGTAGGGCGGAGCTTCATTCGTTTCGCCAGTTCGTTTCGTTTTTCCCTGGCTGACATTTTATGCAAACATATAGGCCAGCCGCAAGGCAATAAAGATGGGAGGATTTTCTAAATGCTGATGATGTTGTTTGGGATGACATTATTACTATACTCTGAAAGTGGAAAATGGGCAATTATCAGAACAAACCAAGGTTGAGAAAATCCCAGTCAGTCCCTGACACACAGGTGAGGCATTTGTAATAATTTTATTTCAAACGGGAAGTGTATTTTTTTTAGTAATCTCCTATTTTTTCTTTCTTTCCTTATGTCCAACAAGTGCGATAGTTTGATAGGCTTTTTTTGTGTTTGTTTGGGAATTTTTTGTTTTTTTTTTTTACCTGTTTCCATCTATATTTACTGAATTATATAAAGATCCCTAATAAATTTAAAAAGTGACTTTTGAAAAAATATGTGATCTTTTAAAATATTGAAGTGAAGAGTTTTTTAGTTTGTTTAATAAACAAAGCCGAAAGTTTTTAAAAGCACCTGCCTGGAGTGCTGTCGACAGGTGCTGCGTTTTCGTTTTGTTACAAGGCGATACTACTTAATTTTGTTAAGGGTTTTTACTTTTATTTTTGAAAAAGGGTGTAACTTTCCCTTCCACACACTTTACTTTAGATTTGTTATTGTTTATTCCTTTTCTTTCTTTTATAAAATTATATATAGCGTATTTATCACACGCACGCACTTTTCTTTGTTTTTTCGCCATTGAAGAAAAACAACATTTTTTTTAAAGTTTAAAAAGATTATTTTTGCTGATGGAAATGGTTACTTTTTGTTTATTTTTCTAAACGAAAACAGGTACGAAAAAATCAAAATACACAAAAAGCTTGTATTTATAATATATTAATTTACAATTTTGTATAAAGAAATTATTAAATAAAAAAAAAAATGTTTCCCCATTTTTGAAACAGTTTTGTAACTTTTGTTGTTCATGTTTATAAAATCCATTACAAACAGTTATTTTTTTTTTCGGGATTTTATTCACTTTGAAACAGAAAGTATTTTATTTTTACCTAAGTAAACTTAAAAAAAGGTTTTACCATTTTTGAGCAAAGGCGACTTAACCTTTCAAACCTTTCATTTTCTTTATTTATTTATTTATTTCATTTTATTTTATTGCCGATTCCGTTTTGATCATGCCCGTAACTTGTTTAACAATGTAATTGTAATAATGTCTCTTCTGAACGAAGGTGATCATGACATTTTTAGTTTTTCTAATATGTCTAAAAAATTATATGCCATCTTGGGAAAAGCTTTTATTGAATGTATTTCCAGTTACCAGTTTTGAATTCAGTTTGTTTCTCTTAGACTAGATTTCACCCAAGGCTAAAGTGCTTAGTCTACCCTACGATTTCACTCACAAGTGAAAAGTAACACAATACTTGTTTTCTGAGAAAAAATGGAAGAAGAGTGAATGTTCCCTCTCTTTTCCGAAACACTGAAGAAGGCACATACAAACAAAACTTGAAATTATTATGTGAAATTTAAAGGGAACAAACATTTAAACACAAAACATTAAAACAAAATAACAAAAATGCAATTTTTACAGAATGGGCTTCCACAAAAATTTCCTATCGCCATCTGATGAGGTAGATAACATATCAGAAATATATAAATGATCTTGAAAAAGATTTACAACACAATCTTTGAAAAATAGGGAAAAAAAACTTTGAGAAAGTAAAACAAAACTTTAAATAGAGGAAAGATACACTTTAAAAAAAGAAAGGAAAGAAAAGGTGCAAACACTTAATTGAAAGACGTGGGTTAATCTGACTCTGCTCTGCCAAAAGCACTCTTTAAACCTCTAAAAAATGGCAATGATATTCTCTCTCTAGCTCTTTTTAATTCTTGCTTCCAGATGAAGTCAAACATAGATAAGAATGTAACCACTGAGGCGTATTCACTTCCTTGGCCTTCTGTTGACTTTCGAGCTCTCTCATACATGCACACACGTGTCTATCACTTGCACAATCAAGCACATTCTTCTTATAGCTAGTTTTAATGTTTTCTCCTTTTGTCACAACTGTGTACACATGTAAGTCTTTTTTTAATAACACGCAATGTGGTTTGTTTTCTTATTATTATTTTTACCTGGACTCACATTGTGTCTGCCAATATTGTTTGTAGGGTAAATGTTCCAGGAACCCATAGATATTTAATATAAAATGTCTGTACACAGCACAATCAAAGTGTTGATTCCCAGAACATAATGGTGACCTCATACTAGCATCCCACAACAGACATAAAATACAAAAGATAGGAGCTTTGGCAAAATCCACTGGTGTCATGGGGACTTTTAATAATCTATCTTTTTCAAAACACAGCTCTATTCTGAGGTTTCAATTCATTTTTACGTATACTTATTCTGCAAGAAACAGCCCAGGACATTCACAGATGGCACCCAAAAATTACTTCCCCTTCTGCTTTCCTTATCATTCTCCCTTTGGAATAAAATTTTCCTGACACTTCGTCTTTTGTCTTGGTCAAAAAATTTGATTGCTTCTTCTTCGACAATTTCTGTGCTTCCAGGATCAAAAAGTTTTTTTTACCTTCTTCTTTGAAAATTTTATTACCTTCAGAAAATTATCCACTGACCCTGCTTCTTGTATAACATTTGAAGCGGTTTGGGCTCTAGACTGTTGTGGAGTAGCTGAACACCTCCACAAAATGGACTGGTCTAAGATTATTTAAACAGGACTCTCTCTTATTGAGGGAGAGGAGTTTTCTCTTCTCTTGTTGACCTCTCTGAGTCTAGGCAAAGAGGAACCCAGACAAGACTATTCTGAAGGGCAGAGTCTTGTCTGGGAAGGTAGACAACAACCCGACCCCACAGGGTCTATGGTGAATTTTTGCCCAAGCCTACAGGCTCAGACCACCCCACATAAAAAAAGGCCTTGTGCTACATCCTGCCTTATGTGGAGGTCTTGTGTAAATAATGAGGATTAATGATTAACTGTTTATTACATTAGTCTGTGTTCTCAATCATGTACCATATTATTCTCCAAAATAAACTACTTTCTATTTTTTATATGTGTGTCAACCTTTCCTATTTATGACATAACTCAGACAAACCTTAACTTTAAATCTATGTGGGCATAAGCCATACTGTTGATTACACAATAAATAAAAAGCGTATGTATTTTTTAAATTTTAAAAATGAATTTGAAACAATTCACAATCCAAAATATTTTTTGGTAGTTCTTTCAGGGTCAACTCTTGTTGTGGAGTAAATAAGACACTCCCGGTAACACAAATGAACTAGGCAAGATGCATTAAATAAAGAACTCAAAAGTCAGGAGTAATCTGTTGGCATCAGTCAAGGAGAAAGAATTAGTGAGTAGCCTAAGCAAGATGTTATTATAACCACAAGGAGTGAGTTATAACAATTCTAAAAATAGATACTTTTACAGACAAATGCAATGTTTTTTTTAATAATGACCTGACTTTCTTTTAAATACACTTATCTAAAAAGTAAATGTATAAGACAAACCCAGACTATTATAGGGGCTTACAGCCGCATCACATTGAGACACCAATGTACGATCCTGTACAATCACCAAAGTTGTGCAAAATCAAACCACTGATACACCACAGTCTACTTCAGATTCCCTATGATGTTGCATGGATAGGTCACACCCCTGATTTTTAGCAAAATTTTGGTGAATAAAAATTGCGACCTATACTCGAGTATATACAGTAATTAGAAATTTCATTTCAAATATAGGAGCCATAAAAATGACTTTACATAGCAGCACTTCTTTCCTCTTGATCATTTTTCATTTCATTCAAGTTGTATATGTAATTTTTAATTTCTATAGTTTTATCAAATTGTAGGTGTGCGTTATATGCCAGGAACTACTGCAACTTGTATAGAAATGATGAAATTAAGTTTCCATCCATTGGGAAACATTTAGCATTCATGTTGAGATTGCCTCCATTTAAAAAACATTACTGTCTATACTGCAGTATAGGTCACACTCTTAGTTTGGGGTTGTCAAAGTAGGTATTTGTGGTTGATTCGCAGATAGATCACATTATAATATAGGGAGCTATATGGCCCTTTTTTTTTTTTTACATAAATATAACTCATTTTTTTAAACATTTTCAAATATTTGCTTCCATTTCAAAACTTTTCTTACATATATTAAAACATAAAGAAAGTGTTGATTTATTTAGATATAGTTATCAAATTTTGTCAGGACTGAAACTCCAAAATTCTTCTCTATCATTGTCAAACATTCTTTTTCATTTGTATTATCAAGTACGGGGCTGCTCTGTTTAGACAAAAATTTGGATACCGGTAATCGCCTCAGTGCTAAAATCACTTGAAAATGATAGTCTTTCGTCATGAATCATATAATAAATGGTAAATATGATCACTGCTGATTGAGCACTTTTATTCAATGTGTGACTTGGTATTGTTGGAAGAGATGTTTGCATAAAGTCAAAATGTCTGGAAAAATTAATTTTCTTCTTTGCTCTTGCTTATGCTTGAGCCCAGAGTACTCTCCTGTATAACTAATATGCCACATTGTTATATATCTATGTACCTATGAAGACTAATGGGTATGTCCCAATCCTTATAAATATATTTGGACACTATTCTAAGTAGTCCACCACTAGCAGTGGTTTACCTACTTCACGCCGCTGGCGAGTATTGTATTTTATTGATGTTATAAAGATTACCATTTCATTTCCAATGTCCATTTTGGTTATTCTTCATTCAGTAACCCTTTCTAGGTTACAACACACGTCTACTTCAGATTCCCTATGATGTTAAGTAGATAGGTCACACCACTGATTTTTATTGAAATTTTGCTGAAAAAAGTGCAACCTATCCTTTAGTATATGCCGTATAATATTTATTTATATTAATTATTATTTTTAATTATTTTGTATTACTAATTAATAAAAACAAAATTACAGGGAAGATGGGTTCATGCCTTCTTCAAGAGTGTCAACGTAAAAGGGAACACAACATATGGATGAAATTTGAACTCAGAATCCCGTTAATTATACAATTTTAAAATTTCAAATTGAGTAGGTACACAAAATATAGAAAGGATGCGTCTTTTCACCACATTTATTCAACCTCAATAGAAAGGAAACTGGTGGTCCTACCAGGATTTATTACTTATGAACACAATGTTAACAACATAAGATATTCACACTATTTACATTGTTTGGACAGTTGTTCTCACTTTTATTGTTGCATTCACAACATTTCAGCTGTTGTATGCTCCAGCCATCTTCAGGCAATATTTCTTTGTATTTCAAACCAAACCCATTATAGTCAATCATTCTCTTTCCCTTTTTTTCTCATTCTTTCACACTCAGTAAACCCTTGTATCTTAGTGGCTTTATTACCTTGTTTAGAGTAAAATTATTAGAAAAAAATAAATAAAATAGCTGTCTATATCTCTGAGATGAGGTATTATGATTATTACATTATTTAGACTGTTTCCTTATCTTCATTACCATATTCACAATGTTTCCAGCCTTCTTCAAGTGATTGGAATTTCGAACTGAACCCTTTATTTCGTCCACTGGGGTAGGTTGTTTGAGTTCAATGTGCCATACCTCTTCCGGATGTCCCAGTTATTAGTTTTTTTTTGCTGTAGCCTGGTATTGAACTCACAACTCTTTAGGTCTAGATCTAACTAACATCTCTATCCACTGAGCCAAATAATATAAATAATCCATTTAGAAGACAGAAGATAATAATTGACATTGCATTTAAAGTTTTGGACATCAAAATTGATTGGTAAGAATAGAGTCCCACAAGCGAGAAGTGCAAGAGAAGATACTGTTAACATAGAACTTAGCAATTTCAATAGTGAAATGATGAAACCTGATTGCCAATCTATTGCGATGCTTGAATTTATAAAGTCAAAGTACTAAAGAGGAAAGCTCATGAGAACAATTACCATGAAAATATTTATAGAAAAGGCAGAGGGAAGCTACATTACAATCATGTGAAAAATGCCTGAAGCTGAGATGCCAAGTCAGGATGGATAACATTGCAGATTCTTCTTTGGATCTTATCAAGAATCTTTAAATACATAGCAGAAGCACCAGACCATCTTTAAATACAGAGCAGAAGCACCAAACCGGATGTGATAGCAATATTCGATGCTGGGACGGATTGTAGATTTATAAACATGTCCAAGAGGTTCTAGTGAGAAAAATTGTCTAGCATGTCATAGTGAACCAATTTTTTGTAGCATCAAACCTAGCAATTGATTCTATATAATCTTTCCACTTCATTTTTAGTATCTCCTTACCAGTATTTAATAATAATATTGCTGCTTGAATTTTTATAAAAATTGAAAAATACTTTTATTGACATTGATTTTCTTGATTGAACATTTAGAAACCTATATTTTCAACGCACATAACAAAAAACACCGAAATTAATTACAATGTTTTGCTCAGGGGATGCAAAACTATTGTAGTACTCTTTGGCTTCTATTGTTTACAAAGTAACATTAATATTAATCTGGATCACACAAGTTTTAAACTAGATTATCTTCATAAGGTAAATCCTCTCTCTAATCTATATTCTCTTTCTTTTCCTTTATTTTCTGTGTTTTACACCCATATCACATTGAAACACCAGTCCTTATATGATCACTGGAGTTAAGCAATGTCAAGCCTGGTCAGTACCTAGATGGGTGACCAATTGGGAAATACCAGGTGCTGTAAGTTTGGATGTGTGGGTGGTGTAACAGATAATGGCTCAGAATTCTTAATCAGAGAGCTGAGTTCCAGTTCAAGTTAAGATTGTTATATTCACTTATGTGGGAAAGATATGAATGCACCTCTTCTTCTCCAACTATGGGTTAATTAGTAAGACTTGTATCATTATGTTGAAACACCGGTTCCCGTATGATCAGTGAAGTTAAGTGAATCAAGCCCGGGCAATGCCGCTAGTAAATAAATAAATATCTATTTTCTGCTTTCTTGTTTAATTGTTACACTACTTGCCTTCTCTCTGCCCTGTCATTTTCTTTCCTTTTTTTTTTTTTAAACCAAGATTTTTTGTTAAAGGTAGCACTGACTACACCCACAAGATCTGCATCCAACTAAAACCTTTAGGAGGAGGGCTAGGATCATTACGCTGCCATCTCAGGTGTCCCCAAAAGTGGAAGCACTGAGGAAACTCGAGCAATTTTTTCCCCCCGAGTCAATGCATGCATGGGCTCCCTTCTTTGTACTCAATCTTGTATCACATTCCATTCAAGTGGGTGTGCAGATAAATATCTACTCACAAGTGTATAAAGGAAATGAAAGGTATAGGGGGAAAACTACTAGAAACTTACCTAATAAGTTTGTGTGAATGGGTGGCAGGGTGGAGAGAAGGAGGGACCGTAAAGAGTCAAGCATTACTTAAATCTACACAGGACTTTCATCAGAGGGTGGAGCATGGAGAGCCTCTGAGGGTAAAGGGGTCGTGAGTAAAGATTTGCCCCCAAAAATTGGTTCACATCCTCTTCATGGGGGTGGGTACAAGTTACAAGTGATAGGAAGTTGTGGAGAACTATAATCACCCACATCCTAAAGGTATGCAGCTCGTAAAGGATGATGATACCATTTGAAAGATTCTGACGTTTTTTTTTTTTTTAATATCTCCATCCTTTTTCTCAGCTCTAGATGCCCGTTTTGGCCTCGCCAAGAGCAATTAGCACAATATTCTACAATATCTCGGGCAAGGACAAAATACTTGCCCATTTTTCCCCCCTTTTTTTGTGGTCACAAAGGTTCTCGATTGCCATGCTCAGTAGAATTTGTCCACACTGAATGAGAGAGGACTATTATTTCAGGGCCTTATTTCAAGCTCAGTCTAAATTGTATGTGTATGGCACAAGTAATTGTAAGTCACTCAAGTACAACACAGACATACACATCACATATATGCATACAAATACACACACAGTTTATGACAGACAGAGAGTCAGCTCTTCTTTTACAATAGAGAATAAAGTCCTAAACCTGTCATTGTTCAAGACAAGTTCAGAAGATTTATGATTCTTTCATTGCAACAACTCTTTTCTTCATTCATGCAATATTCTTCTTCGTGTGTCTGTCTTTAAATATTTTATTGCCACAATAAATGTTGTTGTCAACTTTTTCTGCAGTCGTAGTAATACTATTACTAAGTTTAATTACAGTGTTTGCTTCATAGATGCTTTTCAGACTACAAGTAAAATGTAAATGATAGGCCTTTATTATTTATGGGAAAAACAATTATTTGCTTGTAGTTTGAACAACCTGCATGAAGCTTTTGTTGTTGGGGTGAAATTGCTAGTTGCTTAATAATAAATTATATTTTAACTAGTGTACCCGTGCCATCAATATTGACGACAAGAAGGAATGAATTATAAGTAATATGTATTATATTGTAAGTAATTTTTGTTTAATCCATGTACAATTAATTGATTCATGCAAATACTTACCATAATTCCTCATGTATAATATGCCTTTATCCATAATATACACACCTAAAATTGTGTTGAAAGTGTGGGGAAAATGCTTCTACTCACATAATACACACCCCTTGTTTGGTAATCAAACCCTAGATAAATTGTACCTCTCCAATTTCATTATGGCAAGTATTTCCTACTCTTATTTAAAAAAATGGTTGCAAACATAGAATAATATTATTCTAATTTAGTTTTATGATAATTCTTATTTTATTTTATGGCAATTTTTTAAAAGATATTTTTGTATCTGTGCATAATACGCACCCCTGATTTTGCTTATTATTTTTTAGAAAAAAAATACGTATTATACATGGGGAATTACGGTAATAATGTAATGAACTTGAATAAGAAAAATTTTTAAAATGAGAGGTCAGTATAAAATTAAAATTATTTAAAAGAAATTACATTAGTTCTTGCAAAGTTAAAGAAGACAAAAATGTATTAAACTCGTGTAGTAATAATATCAAAGTATATGAAGATGGATTAATTTTCATTTAAATTGCAAAAACTATAGTCAGTCTTCTTATTTCTTCAAAAATTTGTTGTAATCCTTCTATTGGGTTTTTGTTAAATGTCAAAATTCAGAGTGTCGGGATTCGATACAATAACATCAAATATTGTTGCAGGATTGTTTGTAATTCAGCTCTTTAGAATAATGCATTGAAAGAATAAAATCCAGTAGAAAAAAACAATGTAGTATCAACAAATAAACAATTTATGTACATATGTGAGAAACAGTGAAATGTTTTTATGTGTGTGTTTGTGTGAAAGAGTCAGTACATGTGAGAGCATGCTTAATAATAGTAACAAGGAATACAAGAGATCATTAGAATTTTGTTCTTACTGTGAACTATGTCACTGTAGTTTGGAGCAATCTCTTTATAGTTTGACAGCGTGGTAGCTTTTTGTGTGTGAACATGAATGAGATCTTGAAGATAAGCAGCTAGAGTGATGTCTACCTTGGTGACTTCTGTGCATCTCATGTTTGGGGGCCAGACTTTAAGTTTTATACACTTTTTAGTTACAACATTGGCTCCAGAATTATATTTATTTATTTCTCCCTAATTGACCCTAAAAAAAACCATATGGTATGTCTTCTACTACATTTGCACGCTATTTTGATTAAATATTTTATTAACAGATCACGACACCTATTAGGGAGATGTGATTAAATATACTTTAATGTTTTATAAAAATTTATTCAATATTCTTATTGTTTAGATAATAAGCATTATAGTTAAATTCCCAGATGAATTCTGTAGACAATTTTAATGTAACTATAACAACAAAAACATTTCGATTTCATTTTTGCCTTGAAAAAGTCGGAAGACGAAACGCGTCGGCAAAATGTAAGATTTTTTTCCAATTGTCATTTGATAATAAGCATTATAACATAGCACAAATAGCCATATTGTGAGAAAAGGAATTTTCAACAATATACGCATTTTTATGTATTTATAGTTATTTTTTTTAACTTTTATTAAAAACGACATTCTTGTACATGTAGTTATGGATATTATACCTTAATTACTAATTTTTTAATTAATAACTATTTGTTCTCAGTTGTTGATATTAATAGCTATCTGCTGATGTGTTAAAATTTTAGAATAATGCAATGATAAAAATTAAAATTTCATCTCTCTGGTAGATTTGCAATCTGTAAATATTTTAGTGGACACGACAAGTTAATTTAAATAAAATACAGTTAAATTCACAAAACAAGTATTCAACATGACTAATGTTGCCTATAACTCCTGTCTGTCTTTCATAATTTTTATTAACTAAAGGTCTTTTTTTTTCTTTCCAAAAACAAAAATATAACTTGAATTTGGGGGTGGGTGGGTCATTGTTATTTTGCACACTTCCCCCTCAATTGTTACACAGAAATTTTGCATTCTCAAATTCAAAAAAAATAAATATATATATATATATATATATATATATATATATATATATATATATATATATATATCAACCTATGAATAAGCAGTCTTTCAAGAAGTGGTTAATATGAAAAAAAACAAACAAAAAAAAAAAACTTGTGTCTAATCTCCGCCAGATAAAAAGTTAATGCTCTTAACTTTGAAGTCAGTCAGTCATACATGCTGCACGTAATACATGCTTGGGTGAACATGCATCTTTCAATATATGACTGACTAGGCAGAAGATTTTTCCTGCAGTAGGTTACTTTCTACAATAAACCAGTTACCAGCTAAGGCTATAGGACCCAATTTGATATTTAACCCATAGCTGGGAAGAGAAGAGATGGATTCATACCTTTCCCAATTGTATTTGCACGTAAGTGAATGCAACAAACCTGACTAGAATTCGAACTCAGTTCTCTGATTTCTTATTCTGAGCCACTATCCATTACACCACAATTTACATTCAACTTTGAAGTATAGAAGCTTAAAAAAAACAATTACATAGCAGTTTATTTTTATGGTACTTCTATAAACATGTGGTCCCAAGAGGAATGCGTTGATGTATATTCTAGCATCATTTTGAAGTTCAAAGTTGGTTAAAAACAAGGAATAAATTGATTTCAATATAAGTAAACTAAAAATAATTTATAATTAATTTTAACTATTCTTTAATTTTTTTTTTCTTTTACACAACATGATCCTACTTTAGTAATGATATACTCTGTTGTTAAAGCAACAAATGGCATAATTTGATGACAATAACGGAACTTTTCTCATGTTACCATAACAACGGTATATTTCATGAGTAATTTAGGGGAGGTCAGACTGCAAATATATTACTTTCTTTTGTTTCATCTTAGGTTTCTTTGGATATTTTTGCTTTTAATGATATATAAAAGCAGAATAAAAATAGATTTAAATGTATTGATGAAAACTCTTCATATAATTACAAAATTGAAAATGGCTCCAATATAAAAAGAATATATGATTTGTGTTAGCTTACTTTGCATATTTTTGCTTTTGATGGTTTAAAAAACAGAATTTTCATACAAATGGCAACAGAATTTATTATTTAAATAAACTTTCCAAATTACTCAAGCAGAAAATATAACCAAAGCAATTTTGAAAAATTACTGAAACTAGCCAAATCCCCATCTTCCGAATATTTCTCTTAATAATAATTTAAGAATAATTCAGCATATAATGTTTTTTTGATGATTACCTTACTCAGTTTCCGTCATTTGATAGCGTGCATCTGAAAAATGGTACTTTTATTGCAGTTGCCATGATTTGACTG